TCTCTCTCTCTCTCTCTCTCTCTCTCTCTCTCTCTCTCTTATACGTACGCTCTTTGTATTAGCGGAAGTGGGTGGAAAAGAGCCACGACCTCTCCTCTCCTCTCCTCTCCTCTCCTCTCCTCGATAAACATCGATTCTCGAACAACGCTGCCCTGCTCTTCCCGCCCCATACATATCGGCTCGTCGAATCTTTTTCGAACCGATGTCAGATTATAAGCTCTTTGTTTTATCTCGCTGACGCGTGATCGATGCTTTTCGAGAACGAAGGGAGAGATAGAGAGGAGAACGGACGAAATCCGGCCGCCGCCGGCTCGTTGAAAATCAACCTCCCCTTCCCTTTCCTTCCCTCTTGATCCTCGGAGAGAAACGGAGAGAAAAATTCTTCCTCGGACGTGCGCTCCGAACAATCCTCGCTTCGGGTGCGAATCTCGATCGAGGGAAGAGGGGGGGAGGGGGTTCGAACGAGGGATACGAACACGCGACGCGAGGGACACGCGGCACGTCCTGGCAAAGCTATCAGGCCACTGTTCTCGAAATCTTAATTTCGAGGATAGATATCGATTGCGCGGGTAATTCACTTTACACCCGGTCTAACAATTTTATGGAAGAAAACTGGAGGAGGGTGGGGAAGAAAATCGGATTTTCGTCACCGTTAAAAGCTTTCCCTTTCCCCCGCCCCCCCCCTCCCTCCCTCCGCGGAGCAGATTGATAATACAAGGATCCGGGCGTGAGAGATTTCACTTTTCGAAGCAAAATTCCATTTCCGACCGTCTTCCGTGTGTTTACCGTGATGAGCTGTTTGCTCGCAAACATAGTCTCCGCTCAGAAAAGAATCGCGCAAACGTTATGACCGATTTAAAAGCCCCGTCGACGAAATGGTCGGGGGGAGGAGGGAGGGGAGGGGGGAGATGCCTTTGCGAGCGCTTGCTTCCACCTCACAGAGAAGAGAGAGATAGATAGATAGATAGATAGATAAAATACCAGAAGACACAGAGAGAGAGAGAGAGAGAGAGAGAGAGAGAGAGAGAGAGAGAGAGAGAGAGAGGAAGGAAAGCTTAATAGCTCGGTTCGCATTGTACTGGAAATAAGTTGATCTTGATGATTCGGACGAGGATGAATCCATTCCCCTTTCCGCCCCTCCTCTAAGAGGAATGAAGCCTCTCTTTGATAATTTGGTAATCCCGAAAAATTGGAATTTCTCGTTTTGTCTTCGTTACGCCGATGAGACGGCGTTAAGCGCGGCTTAAATATCACGGGAGTCAAGGATCACGGATCTCCGACCGATAACTTCTTCCCTTCCTCCCCTCCAACTGTACAATCAAGGGAAAAACGTCAACCTCATCATTTTTATCGGGGGAGGGGTTCGAGGAATATCGTCTCGAAAATCGTTGATTAACCACCAAGTTCGAAAGTTTTCGAATCTTCGAACGGCCCAACGTTTCCTCCGAGAACCGTTGTATCCATGTATTAATATGAGAATAATAATAATAATAATAATAATAAAAATAATAATAATAATAATGATAGGCGAACTGATAACAGATCTCCACTTTTCTCCATCTCTCTTTCCCGACTCGTCCGTTTCCGAGTCGATCGAGTCGAGTCACGGTTTCAACTCTCTCCCGCGAGTTAGATTGCACACGTATTTATACGTATGTAGAAGATTTATTTCCCGCGATCGCGTTGCGTCGCCCCGTAATCCGAAGAATAATTTCGGGACGCGGTGGCGTTGGAGACGCGAGGACTCGCATACATGTGCACACACATGATGCATACATCACACCCGTACCTACTATGCAAATACTACGGGGGCCATTCTCCCCGTGGAAACGGATTAATCGTCTAGAATACCGGTGTCGAGAGCAATCGGTATCCGTTTTTGCCAACAATCCTTCCCTCCCCCCCCCCCTCTCCTTTTCGGTGTCGATCGTTAACTGAAGATCGTTAACTCGGGCACGGCGTTCGCGATTTGGATATTTTCTCCCCCCTCCTCTTCATCCAACGATCAAGACGATCGTAACGATCAATCTTCCTCCGCGAGAAATCTTAGAATGCGTTTAAACTGGGTGTTTAAGAGGAACGTAGAAATATCCACGGCACGCGGAGAACGGTGGAGAAATGATGAGGCGCGTGGATGAAGAAGGAGGACGGGAGGGAAGGGAGCGCGACATTGAAAATTCATACTTCTATTCTATATTACCGCGTAATAACAAATCCCGTTCGAAGGAGGAATTTATCAAAGTCAACGACAAACCCATTAGCCGTGATCGCCGTCTAACGGTGACCGTTCGGTAAAAAATGCCTCATATACGAATAGATATATATATATATATTCGTCCCTCGTTCGTCTCGTTCCCTTTCGTTTTTCTCTCTCTCTCTTTTTCTCCTCCCGCTCCTTCGATCGATCGCAAATCGGTCAACGGTCGTTAATAACTCGATTTTCGATCTATCTTCTACCAAGCACGTAGATGGAAGAATTACCGCCGATATTTCCGATATGACCGAAAATTGAATCGCCGATTATTATCATTATCATTATTATTATTATTATTATTATATCTCTCCCTCCGTCCTCCATTTTCGAATCGTTACCGTCACCGTTGAATCGAGAGATTCGTTATCCCCTCCCTCCCCCTCGCTTACGCGATCCTTAATAATTCACTTGGAATTCAGGGGGGAATCCCATTCGAAAATATTGCGATCCGATGCGTTATGGGTCCCAGGCGGAAAATCGCCACCTCTCGTATCCACGGATCCTCTCGATCCTCCCTCCCCCAATTTTGTGGATTTTATCGCGACTGTTTCGAACGATCGATCGATCGATCGATCGACGTGTTTGTCCGCGCGGTGGCCGAAGCGCGGTGAAAGGATTCGTGGTTACCTCGTGAGAAACGTGTAGCATTATATTCGCGAATGGACGCGAATGAACGCGCTTCCCATACGCGTTCCGATCGATACGCGGTTTCTTCCTTCTCTCGTCTACCTCTCTTCCCTACCCTACGATGCACCACTCCGCCGATTTTACATACATCTACCGATCGAGCGAGCGGGGCCGATCGAGCTCGGATACGAACGAGGTGGGCGCGCGCGCTATCCTCCCTTCGCCGACGGACGCATCCCCGGGCATCGAGACGCGTGTACTGACAGCGCCGAGCTGGCCGCGGACCGCTCGAGTCGGGCGCCGTCGGAACGCTCTCCGCCACGGAACGCTCGCCTCGCATCGCGCAGGCCCAGGACCTCCCGCCGTCCCTTCTTCCCTCCTTCCTCTTACCATTTTCCACTCCCTCTCTTCCTCTTTCTCTTTCTCTTTCTCTTTCTTCCATGCTACGCGCCGTTAGGTGTGTATAATATTCAATTTATTACGCGTAGCTTTGATGCGTGGAGAGGAGGAGGGGGGGTCCATTTCGGGAAAATATGGGGGAGGAGGGGAGAAGATCGAGACGGCGAGAAGATCGAAACACAGATTTCTTTTTTTTTTTTTTTTTTTTTTCTTTCCTTCCTTCCTAGAACGTGTAAGCGTTAGATCCGAGATCCGAGAGACAATTTGCCTTTTGTTTCTCGGGGGAGGGGGAGGAAATTCTCCGATCGGCGATGTTGAGCCGGAGAAATAAACGGGGAGGAGGAGGAGGAGGAGGAGGAGAGGGTAGGAGGAGATCGAGTATCGTTGGCGCGCTTGCGCCTCCCTCCTCCCTCCTCCTTCGAGACCGAAAAATTCCCTCCTAAAATCGTTTTTTTCCTCCCCTCCCCCCTCCCACTCAAGATCTCGATCGTCTTTCCGATATCGAGGCGAGTCGAGAGAAAAAAGAAAAAGAAAAAAAAAATCGCGAAATTTTTCCAACGGATCGGATCGAAAAGTTGACTTTACACCCCGCCATTTCCCGAAATAACATTTATTTTCCTATATATGTGTATATATATATATATATACACGCCATAGGTTTTGGTTAATAGGGGAGCAAATATCGATGGAAAAATAACGCGGTCACGATCGGTTTTAACCGGTTCCGTTTGTAACGCTACACTTTGCGTTGTCCGAATATTTCGACGAGCCGCGTGGAAAACCATATTCCGTCGTATTTGCCAATCGTCGAATATTTTAACGGGGGCGAGTGGGGGAGAGGGGGGGCGAGGGGAGGGGGCGGCAAACGTTCGAGCTTTTAAAAACTGTCGGTTAGCGAAACGTTAAACCGTATCGACGTAAAATACGTCTAGCTAACCATTTCCGTTCCCCTCCCCCCCCCTTCCCCCTACTGTTTCCAGATATCAAGTAAAAACCGAACCGGATGAAAAGATCTCGTTCGTCGATCCCCCCCCCCGCCCCCTCTTACCGATTTTCGAGGGATGCGAAACGCGATTGAAACGCGCCTAAACTCACGAAAATTCACGAGCGAAGAACATTGCTGCGAGAGGTGGCACGCTCGTCGATTACGAGGAAGCGGGGGGAAAGGGGGAAAGTACGCGTTAAGGGTTACCGTTCGCCGGATGCAAAAACAAGCGCGTGCAAAGAGACCGATGCGAAATTGCCGCTTAAGCTGCAAGATGGATGAAAAAAGGTTTAGAAGATTCCGGCAGAAAAGCGGAATAACCAAGGTTTCAACGGGGCCCGAGCATAACCTGGTGAAAAATTTCTTCCCCCTCCCTCCCTATCTATCTACGACGACGATGATATCCCTTCTACCACCGCTTGTCGGATTACATCGCGAGCAACCGCGAAGCGCTACATTCGTCGTTTCATCCCGTAGCTGGAAAATCCAGACGATTATCCCGATGATAGTTTGATATTTGCTTTAAATTAATTTGACGTTTATCTCCTCCCTCCCCCCGGGAACGGAGGACGAGTCTTAGGGTAGGGTAGGGTAGAGAGGAACGCGCCTCGTCTATTTACGGATCGCCGTTCGATTTACCGGATTCGACGCGATAAACTTTTTCCCCGATATTCGCGTTACGTTAACTTTCCAACGATTATCGAGAAAACATCGAGAAACATGTTTCGAACTATGGGTTATCGGCTATGAGATTTGATCGTTTCCAACGTTCCATGAGCGCGCGAGGCGTGCCGATCCGATCCTCTCGGTTCCATAGCTTGTATATATAAAGCGATTCGTCGATAAGAGGATGCACCGACTTAAATTTGAAAAAAAAAAAAAACCGACCACCAATCCGGTACACGTAGCAGTACGTATAAAATTATCACATAATATTATTATGTAAATATTATTTAATATTATTTAAAGATTTAAAAAATTCGACGAATTCGAAACATCTCCTGTGACCAAATTACAAATCGAGCGAATTTTTCATTTTACGATGAACGTGCGTATATATAATCAGCATGTACGATATATCGTATTCGGTTGTCGAGAGAGAGAGAGAGAGAGAGAAAGAGAGATAAAAGAGAGAGAAAAAAGTATGGGAATCAACAGGATTCAAGTGCGCGGCGCGGTCGAGCCGGTAAAACGGGATTTAGCCAATTAAATAATTTACAGTGGTCGGTAGATACAATTAGCAAAATGACATGCGTTCCATCGGCGATCGGCCGGGTACATGGATATTCGAGACGTAATAGTCGTTTTGGATTTCGGTCGAATCGAATTATGCTTTGGCGCAATGCATCAGGGGAGAATTTACATCCGCGCGCCATACGTTTTAGGCATTCAGCCCTCCGTTAACCGATCCTGTAATCCGTTAGCAAAAAGATTACCTTATGCTCGAGGCCGCATCATTACTCGAGTTTACTTTCAATTTTCTCCACCATCTTCCTTCTTTCTCTCCGCGTGGACCGCGTCTCTTCTCGTTGGCTCGAAAACTTTTCGATCCCCGTGATAATGAAATAGGCGAGAGAAACCTTCTCCCTTCGATTATTGTCGTTTCTTCTTTCACTTTTCTTTTTCCTTTTTCCTTCCCTCCCCCCCATTTCAGAAGAGAAACGATTCGGAAAACGGAGCGATCCGAAAGCACGGATCTTAATACCGTAATCGTCGATAATATATCGGAGGCTGCATTATATCCGAGTTCGAATTATATCGGAGTAGCAGCGCCGGCAGAACTTGGGAAATAATGGGTCGATAGAAATGGTGGAGCGGTGATAAAGTAACGGTATATATTGCAAAGTATAGAGCTAGTTAAAACTTAGTCGCAGAAACTATTTGTGGTGTAATAGATATCGTTTTACGTTACGGCAGCTATCTGCAAACTTTAGCCGCGCTTCATTGTTAAGCTCGCCACTTGAAGAGGCGGCTAACAACGATTTCGATAACAACGAAGGTTCCACTTTTCTTTTCTTTCCACGTAGGAGATTGTTTGGAAAGAAAAAGTAAAGATTCGCATTCTCGAAACACGACGAAGAACACGGCGAGAGAAACGAGATTTCAAAATTTTGCGTAGATTACGTCTCTCGGCCGTAAGACGTCTTGCCTGGAAAGTTCGTTTACCGTTTACAACGCGACGCGCTAATGCCGGTGAACCTTCGAAGCACGGTCCACGTGCGCGCTTGTATACCTAGCTCGCGCGCAAGGGGCAAACGTTTACGTACATTTCATAAAATACGTGACTCAGCGTATTTTCGCCGGCTTATCTTCGCCGCCACACATGTTACGTTGTCCACTACGCGTACGCGTGTCAGTCCGTGCGCCTATGCTCGATTCGCGCTCTCGTGTGCGCGCGTTAAAATGTACCGCACACTGTAGCGTGCCACGCTATGTTTGTCGTAATAAACGGCGACCGTGGAAGCAGTTCTAATCGCGTCGATCAGTTTCGTCCCTCTTTTTTTAAAAAAAAAAAAAAAAAAAAAAAAAAAAAAGAAAAGAAAAAAAGTAAAACACTCGTAACGTGTGCACGGGCGTATATACGGCGTATATAGTAAGAAAGTGAGAACGGTGAACGCGGTGTGGATGATCGTTCGAATCGAAATAAGAGGGAAAGAAAACAAAAAAGGAAAGAGAAAAGGTTTGTAGGACGCGAATCGGTCCGTACACTTTCCCTCGGTCCGTTTGTTTACGATACGATTACAGCGTGGCATCGAGTCGTAGCGGTCAAAAGACCGATGGAAGGACTATCCGCGCTGTATTTACGAACGTTGCCCGATGAATTCTCGGAAGTCGTAAAACGTAGGAACGTTCACGCCGCGTTCACCGACCATTTTACGAGTAATTTCCCGCGAGTGTTGAGTTTCCTGAGATGCGACAGACGCGACGAAACTCGTCCCTTTCTGTGTCTCCGTTTCCAGTTAGGGGAAACCGTCACTCGGGTGCGGAAACTCTGCTTGCGGAAAACACCTTCTCCCTCGGTTTGAATACTAATTAAGTATTTCAATTTCGCTCGCATTAATATTAAACACGCCGGACACTCCGCGAGGCGAGTATTTGAAAACGATAAAGGAACGATAAATCGACCGTGCTTCCATCGATTCGTTTTCATTTCCAATCCCTTCCCCCTTCCCCTGTTCGAAAACTTCGATTTCCTTCTCTTCCTTTCGAAGAGAGAAGTGAAATCATCGACTGTCCGCCGGTTAGTTATCGAGTTATCGAAATCGATGGATAAAGCTAATTAATATAAATACGCGTCAACGATAAGGGACACCCTCTCCCTCCCTCCCGCCGCTTCCCCCTGTGCGCGATTCGCGTGCGTTCATTTCCGGAAGTACGTGTCCGTAATCCCGGCGAGATCGATGGTTTTAATCAAGAAAATGTCTCTCCGCATCATAGCTCGTGAGCAAATCTCTGGCGGTCATGTTTATTAAAAATAAAAATAACGCACAACGCGGGATCCGGGTTAAAAAGAGAATAATGCATTCCAACGGCACTGGATTAATATTCGAAGACCCGTAACGCCGGTCTGTTTCGAGCTGCTCTTAGCACCATCTATCCATCCATCCATCCATCCAGCCAGCCAGTCAGCCAGCCAGCCAGCCAGCAAGCCAGCCAACCAACCAACCAACCAACCAACCAACCAACCACCCAACCAACCAACCATACAGTCACACATACAGACAGCCAGTCAGCCAGCTTGCTTGCTTGTCTGCCAGCCGCTCGTTCCGCTCTTTCCCCGATACCTATCAAGGTTATTGGTACACGAAAATTTCTT